TTTCTGTTTTGAAATGGTTTCCAGACTTTGTGCTTGCAATGAAAAAGAAAAATAAAATTTTGTTTTTGTTTTTGCTAATTAGATGTTTTTGCCAATTTTTGTTTTTGCTAATTGAAATAGAAATGGTTTGTACACATTGTCGTGGTAAAAGTAAAAAGTTGTGATTGTAATGTTGGTATCTTTAACTGTGCTAAAGAGAGCTGGAAGTTGGTGCCTTTTTCTTTTCTCTTCTCCTTTTTCCAGTTTTCGATTGCTTTTTTGAATTTTTCTTTGTATTTTATATTTTGAGAAAACGATAAAGTTATTTTTTTTAAAAAAAAAGTTGTAGGAGAAGAATAGAGAACGGTAATTTTGCCACATGTAAAATAAAAAGGTTAAATTGTTAGAGGAAAATGTTTTCAAAGGAAGAATGAATCAGAGGGAGCAAAAGACCCTTCCTAGCACCCAGACAACTGAAGCTGTCCGGCAAAAGACAAGTGGCAAGGAGAAAAAGAAGAGCTGTAAAAGCATTACGAGGAGGAAACCACAGTGACTTTAGATTGCTTGCATCACTTTCATGTTCCCTGAAACACTTGCTTCTGAAATGCAATTTGCTGCATGGTTAAGCAAGGCTGAGGAATTCCAGATACTTTCCTTGGGCCAATAGTTTCAGTCCTTGAGCTTACCGCCTTAGTATAACCTCTGCCTTGGCAAACATTTTTTTTAAAATTGACTTTTCATGGTTGTTAATTGACTCTACCTGGGACCTGTTTTAAAAGGTTAATAAGTGGCATATAAATATTTGAAATACAAGCACGGAACTGTAAACATATAGGGCTTCTTGTCTGATTCCTTGCTCAAAATAAAGAATATCCATAACTAGATGGTCCAGTTATTTCCAGAAAGGAGCATTCAGTCACTGAACAATGGTTATTCCTCCTGTCATGATATTTCTTGTAATGTTCCTTGAAAGCTGTCCTTCTGGGATTAAGTTGCTGAGATCTAGACTTACCTGAGATCAGCAGCTTTCAAGAACTCCTCACCTAAACTAGACTAAATTAACTTAAAAATAAAAAAAGGGGAGAGGAAAAGAAAATGTGCTATTTTCTTTCCTCTCACCTTCCTTCCCCTTTTTCCTGTGTGTATGTGTCTTTGTGACTGAGTGCTAGTATGCGTATTAAAGCTGTTTAACACTGATGGAAAGCTAGCATACTTTTTCTTAAAACTAACATTGGCTTAAAACAAGTTTTGCCTCAATATGAATTTAATTTTTGTTTTTCAAGTCCAAGATGTTTGGAGCAGATTGTTCAAACAACTTGTATGCAAGTGAAAGTCTCTCTCTCTCTCTCTCTCTCTCTCTCTCTCTCCCTCTCCCTCTCCCTCTCCCTCTCCCTCTCCCTCTCCCTCTCTCCCTCCCTCCCTCCCCCCCTCTCAATGATAAGCATCCAGGCAGATTTTTTGCAACTCAAGTCCAAATTTTGGTGCTGAATAAGCATGACCTCCACAGGTTTATCCAGTGGTAAATTACATTCAGTCGATTTGCGAATACACTATTCTGGTTCCATATTTTAATAATGTTACCAACTAGTAACCACTAAAGCAAAGGTCAGCAACCTGCGGCTCTGGAGCCGCATGCGGCTCTTTGAGCCTTCCCCTGTGGCTCCCAGCCTCCTCTGCCTTTGCAGAGAGAGACAGAGACAGAGAGAGGCAATTGCGCTTCCCTGCTTCTCTCTCTGTGTGTGTGTGTGTGTCTGTGTGTATGTGTAAAAGAGAGTGCACTCACAGTATTCTCCGAGGAGCTGAAAAGCTTACTGGGCGGAGCTCCTCCCTTTGCTGCATCTCTGCAGGAAGCAGGAAGCAGGAAGGGCAGGAGAGAGCTAGCTGGCCCAGCTAGGCTGACTCAGGAATTCTGGGAGTTGAAGTCCATGAGTCATAAAAGAGACGAGGTTGCTTGTTGGACAACAGCTTGAAGCTTGCCAGGTGAGCAGCAGATAGGAGGGGGGGGAGGGAGAAGAGAGAGAGAGGGAGAGAGAGGGAGAGAGAGAGAGAGAAAGAAAGAGAGCGGGGGAAGAGGAGTGGCAGACCAAGGGCAGATAGAGAGGGAGGGAAAGAGAGACAGAGAGAGAGAGAGACCCTTTTGACATCTAAAATGAAGATAACACTCCATATATCCTTTTTTTACCTGTGTGTGTGTGTGTGTGTGTGTGTGTGTGCGTGTGTATATGTTTTCTGAGGTTTTCGCGGGTGTTTGTATGTAGGTCTTTGGTTGTTCGGGTTTTCTCCCGCGTAAAATTGGAAGTGTCTTGGCGACGTTTCGACGAAGTCCCATTCGTCATCTTCAAGCTGGTGTTTTCAGCTTCGTGCTTCGAAGCACGAAGCTGAAAACACCAGCCTGAAGATGACGAATGGGACTTCGTCGAAACGTCGCCAAGACACTTCCAATTTTACGCGGGAGAAAACCCGAACAACCAAAGACCTACATATATATATATATATACATACATACATACATATATACATATACATATACATATATATACACACACACATACATACACACACAAACACACACACACACACAAACACACACACACCTATAATAAAGGTAAAAAAGGATATATGCAGTGTTATCTTCATTTTAAATATCAAAAGGGTTTTGCGGCTCCCAGTGTTTTGTTTTTGGTGGGAAACGGGTCCAAGTGGCTCTTTAAGTGTTTTGGGTTGCCTACCCCTGCACTAAAGCCTTCACAGAACAACAGCACTGGGAAATGGTATCTTATTTTAATGATTCATCACTGAGTTTCCTTGATGAGTAAAGATTTAGATGATGGACTGCAGGCATTCTACAAGCACTCTGCTATTCTGTTGCTGTTTTAGTTTCCAATACAAATATATTTATTATACCTATATAATAGATGCTTCTCAACTGCCAGAAGTACTGCAAATATTTCACGGCAGGCTCTCAACTGAAAAGAGAGGAGAGAAACAACTTTTAAAGAACCATCAAGGCAAATGCGTCCCACTATTTCTGCTTGTGGCTGTTTTTTTTTTTTTTAAGAAATCCTAAAAAGCTTCTCCCACAGTCTTCAATCAATATTATCCCCATCTCAGCACACCTATTGTTTGTTATGAATCATTGACAAAACGCACACTGTACAGCTTTCTCTAAGCCTTCCAATGGAATGTTGACAAACTGCTGAGCTTTCACCTGTCAGATGCTGGTTATCTTTTTAAATTCTACATTCCAGACTTAGTTTTTGAATTTAGGTGTGGGAGGAAAATCTGTATTTTGCACAGTTAAAGTAATGACTTTTCCTCTCAGCAACTTGCAACCATAAGAGGTGTTCTTTTTCCCCTTCATGCTGTTTCTGAATCAAAAGAATCCACACTCTTAAAATTTAAACTAAGTGGGAATAACGGCACTGTAATACTCAAGTGAACATCAAAACCCAAAGTTTTTTTTAATATCTGAAACTTGAAAATAGATGTGTCAGGTGACTTACTAACCATATCTGGGTTCCATAAATATATCTGGGTTCCAACATTTCAAAAGGTGCATTGGGACTACTTCATAATAATTATAATTAAGCACATGGATGAGGTGTATTGACTGGGAAAATAGATGGATTCTTCTTTCCATTGAGCTCTTAGGCATTCCTTTGTTAAACTATAGAATTTGCCCTCAAGGAAGGGATAGTGACTATTTGGTTTATTTTAAAAGGGGGACTGGACCAATTCAAAGACAAGTGGGCTATCAGTGCTATCTCCTAAATCACTACTTTCTAGATCACAAGTCTTTGATAACTAGTTGCTAAGGAGCAACAATGGAAAGAAATCTATCATCTTCCTCTCCATGCTGGTAAATTTATCATATCTGAATATCTTTGGTTGACCACTGTGTGCCACTGTATGCAAGATAAGATGAACCCATTTCAGCATGATTCTTTTAAATACACAGTTACATTATTAAAGTTAACAAAGCACATACAAACTAACACAAATGAATAAAGCACAGAAGCAATAAAGGAAGAAGGAAGAAAAGCAAAAGTGCTGAAAAGAATTGAAAAGGAAAAATGAAAAAAAAGAAGCTTCTGATTTCTTTTGCAGCAAATACAAGTACATTTATAAAATTATTTCTTATTCTATAATTACAAAAGGCCTTCACTTTTTTCTAATATCCATTTTTCCTAATCTTCAGAACCATAAATCATAACTACATTTTTTCTGTTTCATGCAAAAAGTCTATAAGGGTTTTCCAGTTGACCATAAATGTAGATATTGTTTTTACAGTATTCAAAGAGGTTAATCTAGCCATCTCTGCAATTTCCATCATCTTCAATAACTGTCCCTCTGTTGTAGGTAAAGTCAAGTCTTTCTATTTTTAAGCATATAATAGTCTCATTGCAACTGTCCTATTTAAAAACAAAGTTCTGTGACTTTTTTCTAGTTGCTTGTCAATAATAATAATAATGTTGGAAGGGACCTTGGAGGTCATCTCGTCCAACCCCCTGCTCAGGCAGGAAACCCTATACCATTTCGGACAAATGGCTATCCAGTCTCTTCTTAAAAACTTCCAGTGTTGGAGCATTCACCGCTTCTGGAGGCAGGTTGTTCCACTGGTTAATTGTTCTAACTGTCAGGAAGTTTCTCCTTAGTTCTAGGTTGCTTCTCTCTTTGATTAGTTTCCGTCCATTGCTTCTTGTCCTGCTTTCAGGCACTTTGAAAAATAGCTTGACTCCCTCTTCTTTGTGGCAACCCCTGAAATACTGGAAAACTGCTATCATGTGTCCCCCCATGTTCTTCTCTTCATTAAATTAGACATCCCCAATTCCAGCAACAGTTCCTTATATGTTTTAGCCTCCAGTCCCCTAATCATCTTTGTTGCTCTTCTCTTTAGTCTCAAAAGAAACGTATTTGATTTCAATTGTACTTCAACCTTTAAAATCTTATGAATTAATGCATCTATTTGTATCGAAAATGAATTTTTTACATGCCCACCAAACCTGATTCTTCTCATGCTTCCAGATCCTTTCGCCTTGGACATGAATCTTAATCTCCTGATCTCCAGCTATAATAGGACCATTACTTACTGCATTATTACAGTGAACAAGAAACTCATGCAAAAAATGCATTTGTTAAGAATAACAAGCCAGATGAAGGTATACCTCTTTCCTTCTTTGCACATGCTGCACACTTTAATATTAATACTGAAAGGTATCCTTATACAAATGTAGTTCCTTATATATAGATTTCTGTTTCATCATGATGCTTACTAATTCCACATATTTTTGTGCTGGAACATTTGAAGATAAAATAGATTTCTTGGTCCTGGCTTCATTCTAATTCCATCAAGACTCGAAAGCAATGTATTTGTAAAGACATCTGCTTTATCACATGAGTGTGGGCTGAGAGGTGTGCTTACTTAATATGATCACATAGGCTGTATGCCCATCCCAAGTACATGGAAGAAATAATATGTGACCTTTAGAAAAATGACCGTGTCACCTTGGGATTGAAGAAAGTACAAAACAAGTTCTTAATACTTTGCAGGAGAATCCATTTCAGCAGGCTTAGAGAAGAATTAGGTGGGTTCCCATGGACAGAAGTCCTCAGTTTAAAGCCTAGGAAAGCTGGGATCTTTTCAGAAACAAGATACTCAAACTACAAGTGCACATTATTCCAGTGAGTGGGGGAAAAAATGAGGGCAGCTTAGGAAGCTGCTGTGGATGCATAGGGAGCTTTTGACAAGCTATGAATTGTATGTGTGGAAAAATACATGGACGAATTTCATGTATAGAAAATAGAAGGTGGGTGGAATCACCAAGCAGGGGTACCATCAAGTAGTTAATACCTGCAGAAATTAAATTAGAAAGGTTAAAGCATAAGAGCGTACTCAGCAGTAGCTAAAAGCATCAAAAATAGTATTTGGGGACTATGTGAGCAATAAAAAGAAGAGAAAGCACAAAATAGACCCATTGCAAGAGTAATTCAGGGCTTCTCAATTGCTATTCTGCTTGTTTTCCAAAAGTGAGAACTTCTATTCAAATGGACCTAGATGAAATGATCAACAAAAGAAGGAAGTGGCAACCCAAGGTAAATAAAATGGTAACTAGAGTCACTGTTATGAGATAGGTGGCTATATGAATCATTTAAATTAATAAATGAGCTTAAGGCTGTAGAGCCAAACCAATTTTTATATAACAATTTCTTACATTTCGATGCTGTACAACTAAATTGGGACTCTGGGCAGTTCTTAAAGACACTTGCAGATGTTATCTCAGAGCCTATTTCTGTCATCTTTGAGAAATCATGAAAATGGACCTAATGTCAGAGGACCCAAGAAAAGGAAATACAGGTAGTCCTTGACTTACAACCATTAATTTAATGACCGTTCGAAGTTACAACTGAACTGAAAAAAGTGACTTATGACTACTTTTTACACAACCGTTGCAGCATCCCTGTTTGGTCATGTGATCAGAATTTGGGCAACTGGCATGTATTTATGACAGTGCATTGTCCTGGGGTCATGTGATCACATTTTGTGACCTTCTAACAAGCAAAATCAATGGGGAAGCCAGACTCACTTAACAACTGTGTTGCTAACTTAACAACTGCAGTGATTCACTCAACAACTGTGGCAAGAAAGGTCGTAAAATGGGGCAAAACTCACTTAACAACTGTCTCAATAACAGAAATTTTGGGCTCAGTTGAGGACTACTTGCATTGTTCCTTTCCTCAAAGAGGTGGGTGGGGAAAAAAGACTAGGGTAACTAGTTGAAATTAATATCAGGCAAAACGCTAGGATGGACTAATCATTCGTTACATTTGTATCCCTCTGCAATTAATATAACTCTTTGTTCTTAATAAGCCTTCAATTTGTGAGCACTTAGGAGAGAACATATTCCTTGGCAGGAGCCAGCATAAGTTTATCAAGAATAGATCATGTCAAAGCACTATATTCTATTTTGATTGAGTGATCAGCTTAGTCATCCATGAGACTATGATGGAACCTCGATTTCAGCAAAGTGTTTGACAAAGTACCCTGTGAGATTCTAAAACAGAAGATGGCAGAATGTGGATTGGATTATGCTACTATTAGGTACAGAATTAGTTGAAGAACTGTACCAAATAAGTGTCCTTTTCTCCATGTCAATTCGAAAGGGTCAAGGAGCATAACATGGGTCTCCATTGCTAAATGTCTATGGAAATTCTCAGTTATCCAGGTCATGATTGTCCCAAAGGTGCTTTTTCAAGAGGCAACTGGACCTATTGTTTTTCTTTGAAGAAGTTTCTCTTCTCATCCAGGAAGGTTTTTCAGCTCTTCAGCTGAAACTTCTTGGATGAGAAGCCAAACATCTACAAAGAGAAACAAGTAGGTCCAGTTGCCTCTTGAAAAAATACCTTTGGGACATGGGGCCCCATTCTACACTCTGTGCTGATCAATAGAAATGATTTAATGGGGTTTTTTTTTAGAAAATATGAATAATAAATTTGCAGATGAAACAAAGATAGGAGGAATAACAAACATGGCTGGCTGGGGAATTCTGGGAGTTGAAGTCCATAGATCTTAAAGTCGCCAAATTTGCCAAGGTTGGATACCCCTGCCTTAGAACATAGCATCAAAGTTTGGGAGGGTCTTGACAAGCTAGAATGGCAGAAATCCAAAGATGACTCTCAACAGAAAAAGAGGTAAATGTAAAGTTGTTTATCTTGGTAGAAAATGTTAAAGATACACAGGTAGGGTGGAGGAGAAAACCAAACTTGGAAGCAAGATATGCAGAAAGCATCAGAGGGTGATAGCATTGGCAGATATTGCTGAAATGGATAACTAACTTTGATTAGAAAAACAACATTAGCTACATTTATTGGTGACTGGAAGCCTTCTATGGACTTTTTGTGTAAAAATGAAAAAAGAATCTCTGATTTCCGATTTTGATTATTAGATAGGATATATTATAGAAAGAATAACATGTTGTCACTTTAGAGTAGGGGTGTCCAACCTTGGCAACTTTTAGACCTGTGGATTTCAACTCCTAGAATTCTCCAGCTAACCATGTTGACTAGAGAATTGTGGAAGTTGAAGTCTATACGTCTTAAAGTTGCCAAAGTTGGATCTCCCTGAGAGAGAGAGAGAGAGAGACAGAGAGAGAGAGACAGAGAGAGACAGAGAGAGAGAGACAGAGAGAGAGAGACACACACACACAGAGAGAGAGAGACAGAGAGACACAGACAGACAGAGAGAGACAGACAGACAGAGAGAGACAGAGAAAGAGAGACAGACAGAGACACACAGAGAGAGAGAGTTCTCCAGCATGATTGGATGGAGAATCCACTGGTGAGTTGTCTTAATCTTCCTGCTCCCATAAGACTAAGTCAGAGTTAAAGTCACACCTCTACTGTGTCCCTATGCCCCAGTTTTAGACTTAGTCTTTTGCTCCTAAGACACATTTTTCGTAGTTCAGGCTATTTCTGATAAAATTCTTACCTCCTTGATGAGAAAACCATTCCTTTCCTTCCCAACTAGTCTCTGTCCTGCAGGTTACATCTTAACCTGGGCCGAATTTAGGCTCCTCGTGAGCAAGGAGGCCTCGGCCTCTTAGGCCTGGGGAAGCAGAGCATCGAGATCAAAATGTATTTGTATTTATAATGGCTGTGAAGAATATCAGAAGCCACTTCTTTATCTTTTTTCTTTCTTTTCTATTTTTCTTAATTTTTTTCATTTCCTTGCACTTTTTCTTTTTCTTTGATTTCTTTCTTTTTCTTTTTTCCCATATACTTTAGATTAGTTTGCATTAGTTTTATCTTCTTGTTTAAAAGTTTTATTAAAATTATATACCAAAAAAAAGCATCTGAGTGCGCTGGATAAGCTGAATATGAGCCGATAATACACAGGCGGTCCTCGATATATGATCAAAATTGAGCCCAAAATGTCCATTGCTAAGCAAGACACATTGTTAATGAGTGTTGCCCCATTTTATGACTTTTCTTGCCATTGTTGTTAAGTTGAATCACTGCAGTTGTTAGGTTGATTACAAGGTTGTTACGTGAATCTGGCTTCTCTATTGAGTCTGCTTGTCAGCAGGTCACAAAAGTTGATCACGGGACACTGCAACCGTCATAAGTACTTGCCAGTTGCTGAGCATCTGAATTTTGATCACATGAGGATGCTGCAACAGTGATAAGTGGGAAAAATGGTCATAATTCACTTTTTTCAGTGCCGTTGTAACTAAATGAATGGCTGTAAATCAATGCAACCCTGTAAAAAAAACCAATCCTAAATGTCAAGATCAGGATAAGTCAATGGTTTTCTCTATTAAATATTGGTCAAACTACACACACACACACATAAATATTGCATTCAATTTTAGGCACCACAATATAGGGAAGAACTGACAAATTAGAGACTATTCAGAGAAGGACAATTAAGATAGTAGAAAGAAAAACATATGAAGTAAAGTTAAAAGCTTAGCCTGAAGGAGATGGAGAGAAGTCATGAGTGCTGCCTTCAAAAAAAACTTAAGGTCTATCATGTAGAAGATGTGGTGAACTTGTTCCAAAAGACAAAACAAGAAACAATTAGTTGCAACTAGTCTTAAGGTTATGACGGCAATTGAGATTGGAAGTTCCATTACTAAGTGATGCAGTCAAAAAGCATGACACTATATGACTGCATCACTTAGCGACAGCAATCCTGGTGCCCTCCATTGCTGTCATTAAGAGACAATTGTGGATTGTTAGGTGAGGACCTCCTCACAATTTCCTGCTGGCTTCCAACAAGCAAAGTCAATAGGAAGCCAACAGGAAATTACAAGTTCCAGGTAGTCAATCAGGTCCGCAAGCAGGTAAGTGGCTGTGCCAGGTGGGAGAGGGTGAGCAGGTAGCCACTGCAGGCAGTGAGGTGCTGTATCTGAGCTCCTCAAGGGAGGGAAGTCACTGGAATGCAAGCAGTTTACCAGACCAACTCGTAACCTATCCTGCCAGCTTTCCCATTAACTTTGCTTTTGGGAAGCTGGCACGAAAATTTGCAAATGGCTGTCACATGACATTTCAACCATCAAGTATGAGCCAATTGTCAATCAGCAGGATCATGATCACATAACCATAGGAGTTCTCAGTCAGCCAGAACTTTGAGGATTGATTGTAAATACCATTTGTTCAGTGCTGTCATAACTTCAAGTGGTTGCTGAACCAGTGGCTATTAATCAGGGACTACCTGTAAATGATAGGATAATCGATTTTTAATAAACATCAGGGTGAAAAAATCTTAATGTCTAAGAGCGATAACAGTGAAGCATACTGCCTTGGAAGGCTGGTGGACTCTCCTTTCCTAGAAGGAGGTTAAATGGACATCAATCAGTGAAATGTTAATCCTGGATTCCTGTACTGGGTGAGTCTTTAGATTAGTTCAGGGGTGTCAAATTCGCAACATCACGTGTCACAATGTATCGCGACTTTTTTTCCAATGCCAGCAATGGGGTGTGCGCAGTTTCGCCATAACGCATCCAGCCCACGAACCGGCAGTTTGACACCCCTGGATTAGATGATTTCCAAAGTTCCTTCCAATTGCATACATTAAAGGATTTTACGATTCCACAGCCAAGTTGCTTTCCATTATGAATATGTAAGACCACAAATATCACCCACAAAATGCCACTGATCTGACACTAATTTTGTTACCCTGTTACTTGTGTGTTTGTTTCTAGAACTGCATTATTTGTCCGTGTAGGGGATACTATTTTAAATGGCTTGGCCTAAATTGGTTTTGAAAAGGAAAACGACTAAGCATAAGTAATGATTATATAATGCTTTCCTTAGGATAGGCAGCCTTTCACTGAATGAGAGCAACTCTTCATTTCTGAGGGATAAGTTTTGTTTAAAATGAGTGGGGGTGCTGCCCACCTCTAAACAGCAAGGAACCATGGTACCATTTTTAGCAACACTTTCAGCAACATTATCAGAGGTTGCTCTAGAGGCCAATCCTCTCTCCCACAGTGCATGTGGCCCTGGAGGTATCCCTTGTGATAGATGCACATCTTTGCCTTGCATCTTTTTACAATATCCCTAAAGAGACTTTAATTCGATCCAATATCCAATGTACTAACACAACTCAGTTCAGGGAGATATACTAAAGCTACTTTCTTTAGTTCCTTTAATACTGTGAATCACAGTAAACTCACAAGATTTCACAGCTTAAAAACTGAAGTACCAGTCTTATGTTAGAAAGGCATTGCAAACATATTCTCTGGAGAGTTAACGTTATGAGTTGTCTTTCATCTTGTATTTTTCAGAATATCAAAAGGAAAGCTGTAGCTAAAACACGGGCAATTTTACCAAAACTATTCTAAACTTAACATTTCAAAGTGCCTTTATTTCAAGCCACGAAATCAATTTTCATAAACAAGGCTAACTGTCACATGCAATTAAATGTGGTCAATTTTAGGGCATGTTCAGCCCCAGATCACAAGGACTGATATCCAAGACAATGTTTCGGTGTTCACATGAATCCCATGAGCATTAGACATAACCATATTTTTATTCTTTCTCAATTGAGGCTGCATTTTGTGGTATGATTTTTGTTTTCCGTATATTTAAACAAAAAAATTGCAACGGTTTGACCTAATTGGAGCTACTATATAACCACAAGAGAGCCAGTGTAGCAGGGTGATTAAAAGATTAAGTTAGCTTCTCAACTGTGAAAACTTTAAGACCTGTGAACTTCAACTCCCAGAATTCCCCAGCCAGCATATTGACTAGGAAATTCTGGGAGTTGAAGTTCACATATCTTAACTTGCTAAGGTTGAGAAATATTGGATTAAAGTATGAATTAGAAGATGTTGGAAACATCATCCCACTCCCCCAATCTTTTCCTTTAATAATGCACAATAGAGGATTTTGTCTAGAGCAGATGTGAAACTTCCCAAATTAGTTAAATTTGGTGACACCTTTCTAGCCTTTCACAGCATGCCACTTTGCACTACTGCAATATGGTCTCTGTGGGGCTGCCTTTGAGAAAAGTGTTCAGTAATAATAAATGGTGCAAAAATTGTACTGGGAAAACAGCAAAAACGTAACTGTTCACCTAGCTTTTCAATTTTAATTCATTTAAATAATCTTGATTTTAATGCTTATTTTTACTGCAGTGATTTTGCTGTTCTGTTTAACACTCTGTACCTTCTTTAATTGTTATAAACCAATTTAAGTACAGAAAGACCATAAGAACATAAGCAATGCCTGTTGAATTGGAACTCTGGTCCATCTAGCTCAGTAGCCTGTTCTCACAGTGGCCAACCAAGTGCACAAGGAAGTCCATTCGTCACTCAGCAGATAGACTTCAGAAGCAGTTTTAGTATTATCCCTAAAATGCTATTGCCTTTCTTTCTTTCTTTTACAGTGGATGCACACGGAGTGAACACCTTCAATGAACTCTTTAGAATGGAATATAAATGTAATAATAAACACCCCAAATGTGGCAACTAGGCTGTTCATTATGCAAGATAAAGGAACTTTGGATGTCTGAACTGAAAGATCTGCACTGATTGTCGTTTGCTTACTTGACACAAGGTATCAGTATGAACCATTAAAGCCCCAAAAGGCTAATTTGTCCTTTCTCAGAAGCCCATCTTTCCACCACAAGGGAGAACACAAAGGGTCTTCATCTGACTTGTTCCCAGGTTTTGAAATATTCTCTTCAAACCTTCTCTTTGGTCCAAATCAGCATGTAAAAGATCTATGATATTTAATGTTAATTTTAATCTGAGGTCAGCTCAGTGGCCTCTTATATGTGGAGTGATGTAGATTTTGATCCCGGCCTCCTTATTTTTAGCCTCTACACGAAACTGCCAAGATCACCTGTCTGCTCAGGGGATGGTAGCATCAATTTGATACCCAATTATATATCACCAGCCTGGACTACACTGACAAAGTAGTCAAAGACATGTTACCACTATTTAGAGGTGCCAAGGTCTGGAGGGGAATAAACCAGTTGTAGCTGAATCTAAGCAAAACTAAGTTGCTGCTTTGTTTATCAAGGTTCTCTGCCAGCTCCAATACTGTCTATTGAAGGGACTGTACTGTCCTTAAGTGAGCAGCTCCATGCCTTAGTCGTCATCCTGGATTGATGCTATTGCTGACGGGGAGATAGAGGCCCTAGAGAGGAGATCATATGTCCAACTTCAGCTGATGCAACAGTTCTAGCCCTACCTTGGTAGGAGAACCTTGCAAAGTAATTCATACTCTCATCACCACTTAGTTAGGCTATTGTAATGTGTTCAACGTAGGGCTGCCTTTAAAAATACTTGGAAAGTGTAGTTTGTTGAAAATGCAATTTTTCTATCTTTCTATTCAAGATGCTATTAATATATGACATCTGTCCTCAGGTGCTGCAAAAGCAGCTAATAGGCTTCTGGGTGCAGTTTAAGATCCTGGTTTTGACCCATACAGCCCTATATGGCTTGGGGCTGAGATACTTTCAGAACTGTTTCCCACCATTGATCATTCATAAACCACCTGGAAGAATTGTTGACAGTTTCCTACTGTCATGAAATCAGAAGTGTGAAGATGTCAATGGAGATGTCAATGCTTGGAAGAAATGCTTCTCCACTGTGGCCTCCATGTTATAGAATAGATGTCCACTGGAGGTCAGACTTGTCCTGAATTTGGTGGCCTTCCAGAAGCAAGTTAAAAGTATATGTCTCGCCCAGGATTTTTAGGATAGTTGGGATAACACTGAAGGAATTGTTTGGATATTGCTTTACAGTACATCAGTTATCAGTCTTGTTTTCATTTTTACAATGTTACTTGTACTATGGGTATTTTTATTCTTCTTAAACCACTGGGATGTGCATTATTGCAGCAGGCTAAAACTTTAATAAATAAATAAAAAGTTGGTATTCTGAATACACACACACACAAATATTCTATGTAAGAAAATGATGAATAAATTAATCAAACAAATAAAACATCAAAGTAATTCATAACATGGAAAAACAATCTAAAACTCCAAGTCATGGCTGAAGTTTTGCAATTTTGTGAAATCTTTCTCTCTACTTTAACATGTTGAAAGAATGGAATTGTGTTTTCTTTTTTCAGTAGTTTATTTGAATAAAACAAAACTTTAGAGTAAAATCTTTGACATCTCTTGCAACTCAAATGACCATTTTGATTCTTTATTCACAATTAATGCAGAACTTACTCAAGTTCATTGACAATGAACCACCATTAACCATCAGGTTATAGAATTTGTAATGTTTATAAAACTACAACTGATGAAGCCTTAATTTATGAGGCTAGATTCATGTGCCATTTAATTCATGATTAGGGAGGAGTATCCAATATGCATTCATTTTTTAATCAACAAAATTCTGTATTTAAATCCTATCCTTATTTGTGAATTTTCAGCACATATGTAGAGATCATACTAGATTTGAAATAAAGGCAACTTGGCCTATTCATGAAACTGGGAGTCATACCAATAATAATAAAGAAGACAGCAACCTGCTTTTATAATTGGACTCAAACAGCATTCTTTTTCCTTTAATCATGTAGGAGGGAAGGGTGGGAATCAATCAATCAATATAAGTCACTTTTTCCAGTGCCATTGTAACTTTGGTCACAAATGGTTGTAAGTTGAAGACTACCTGTACTACCTGTAGTTACAGGTAGTCCTTGATTTATGACCTCAGTTGAGCCCAGAATTTTTGTTGTGATGCAAGACAGTTGCTAAGTGAGTTTTATCCCTTTTACAACCTTTCTTGCCGTGAATCACTGCAGTAGTTAAATTAGTAACCCAGTTGCTAAGTGAATCTGGCTTCCCCATTGTCATTTGCTCATCAGAAAGTCGCAAAAGGAGATCACATGGCCCCAGGACACTGCAACCGTCATAAATATGAACCAGTTGCCAAAAATGAGCATTTATATGTGATTCATCAAATTCACTCCCCAAATAGCACCCATACTATAGGACATTTACATTTTAATATGGAGTAATCCATACTATGTTTAATTGGATTAGAGTCATGGTAGTGCTGTGGTTGGAATACAGTATTGCAGGCTGATTCTGCCTACTGCTTGGAGTTCGATCCTAACCGGCTCAACCTTCCATCCTTCTGAAGTCGATAAAATGAGGACCTAGATTGTAAACCGCTTAAAGAGGGCTATAAAGCACTGTGAAGTGATATATAAGTCGAAATGCTATTGCTATTGCTAATTTAAACTTAATTTTGGTTTACTATTCTTGATTTGGCCTATTGTAATTTCTGTACTGGTGACCGCACTCTGGTGGGGTCTTTCTATGGCCATTAGGCTAAGAAAGTTTGATCTTCTTGGTTAAATCCTATGCCTATCGCACTGTAATCTGCTTCTCTTAAAAATGTGTAATTGCACCTGTTAGAACAAATCACCTTCTCCTATCCTTTTGTTATTCATAGTCCATCCTTTCTTTGGTAGCTTCTAAATTTAGCTGTGATTATCTACTTCTTAAGTGAAAAATTCATACTTGTCACCAATCTAATTGCATCCCATTCAGTTGAGACTATATGGTTCTCATAAATTTTCTCATCCATAAGGCATTCAATTTGAGCCCTCATTTGAAAATAGGGCATAATTCAATGGTCACTTACAATCCTTTTTTCAGTAAAGCTTCAGATACAGACCTTTACTATCTTCATTTATAGCAAAGCTCAGAATGGCCTTTTCCAGAAACTTGGGAGGGGTGGGGGTGGGGGGTGGGAAACTGCTGTTATTCAGAACAGGGAATTTTGAGCAAGAGAGCTTATTGATTCAGTTTTGCATAGTATGGTTTCTCATAGGATAGATTTACATTTAATCCAAATCAGGTTCTCTCCCATTTTAGATATTGATCAATCATTGCAGGAGTTGAAATAAAAGTTCTCTATGTAGGATCAACTCTACAAGTGTTATCCCCTTGGGAAACAGCTCAGTGCAAAATGATTTCTCTGCTTCTTGGTATTTCTCCAGCTCGGTTGTATTCTTTCAAAATGTGATTCGTTGAGTTAAGCAGGTCAGGTCCCTGTGGATACAGTATATGCCATCAAGTGAAAATTAAAGACCAGAAAATTAACAGGGTTTGTTGTGTTACCAAGCTGAAGACATTTTATCCTCATGCTCATAGAAACACATCCTGAGCTAATGGAACACAGTGCTGTATTCCAAGTCATATTTATACTTGCAAAAAGCAATGAGTGTACTTCTGTTAAGCTCACTTGGCAACTATCTTGCTGGGATTTCCCCCCCCCCCCTCTCCTTGGCTTTAAGTGATACAGACAAGGTGTACTTTAAAGATAATGGAAAGCATGGCCAAATGAACCCATTTAATTACAGAAGTCCTGCCATGGGTGAATAATATAATGATGTGGGATTGTGGACACCAGGCCAAAAACAAAACCAACCCTCCAACTAGGGCTTTAGTCAGGGATCTCCCCCTCTTTCAAAGTTGTTGATAATTTGAGTGTGCTTCATCAAGAGGAACCATCCTGAACCAACCAGATGAAAACCTAGCCAGATGTGGGGAGTGCTGGTGAATAAACTAAAACCCAGGATGAGCACAATTAATATTAGCTTCTTGATACAGAAAGCCAGATGGATTAATGGATCAGCTCATGCATTGCCTAAGGAAACAAAAAAAAGTATCTTCTATACTTCGGCACACATTGAGGACCCTGACAATAGCAAGTAAAAACTCCTAATTTGGCACAAAGGAGTGGGGAGTGCAGGAATAAATTACAAGCTTTATTTAAAATGTCCACACAAGAAAACCAATGAAAGAGCCTGGAAAGCAGCAAGTCAACACTTTTAAAAAGCCTGGCAAAAAAAAAGGAGGGGGGGGGAACAGTACGCACATGCTGACTATGATTGTTAATGTCAGCTGTATCTTTCTTTCAAATGAACAGAACTAGCATCTGGTTTCTACTAATGGAAAATCCAACCATTATATGGTAAATCATAGGAAACCAGTGCCTCAGGAATTCAGACTGTAAACTTTCAATTCCTGTTAGTCCCGAGCATGGAATAGTTGAGTTTGCCATTTTCTCAGGGCCATTCCCTTCATATTTTAGGAAACAAAGCACAGAGGCGGTTTGGCTTTGCTCACTACCAGTCTGCCAGATAAGCAATTCTGAAATCTCCCTCCAAAGAACCAGAAGAGTTCCTTGTGAGCCCTTCTTAAGCCCACCATGCCCTCTAAATTCACTCCATCTCAACTCTTTCTCTGCAGTTCTGGAAAGTTAAGGTAGAGGGGAGGGAGTTAGGGAGTCAGTGAATGCCACAGACAGAATGATAATAGTTTACACAGTAGCACGTGTTTCAGCAATAAATGCTCCCCCTCCCAATTTTCTCTTCCTCCCCTTTCTCTCTCTCTCATACACACCCACTTTAACTGTGCTTTTGTGTTTTGTCAGAATTAATGAGAAAAGTTCCCTTGCCCTAGGGGTAATTAGTGTCCTTGGAGTTAAATAAGCTAATACTTAGACACCTCTGGCACAGGCAATTATGTTTGTGTATTGAATAATTGATTCAAAGAGAGGGGGAAGGGGGCTGCTAATCAGATCTGAGCATAATGAATTGATTTAATTAACAGGGGAATCTGAGGGTCCCTGGGAAATGTGTGCATTTATTCAGCAGCAGGAGAGAGTGCAAGCACATAAATTGAGAGAGAGGGCAGCAGGCAAGCACATTTGCTTCTGTGATAGCTTCGCATCTTCCCATCCTGTTCTTTCCTTTTTTAAAATATATATATATATAATTTCAGATTTAGACTCAAATCCAGAGAAAAGCACTTTAGAAGCTTATCTACCTCCGCAGTAGCGGCAGCAAAAGAGGGTTTAGGGAAGGATCCTGTGGGCTCGCATTAAGATCAGGGGCACTGTTGTTGCTATTGTTCGGAGGTTAAGGGAAAGACAAGAACGGGAGAAGCTGAGCCCCCCCCACTTCGTACCTTACCTTCCTGCCTTCCCCCCCACCCACCTCCACTCCGTGCGTGCCATCTCCAAACTGGCATTCAGTTGCAACCCACCAGAAGGATAGGAGTCTCCGAGGAGGTGGTCGCTGCTGTCTCTGCCGCTTTAGGGGAAAAGGGGTGTCGGGGGGGAGACGCCGGCAAAGCCAGCTTCCCGGCGGGATTTGCCTCCTTGGGTAATTCTAACTGAGCGCGATCCTAGGTTAAAAGTCGGGCAAGTGTAACCGGCTCGGCCGGGGGGGGGGGCTGTCTGTGCAAGAGGGGGCGGGTGGGGGGGAGAAGCTAAGAAGAGAGGGAACAGGGAGGATAAGCCAGGCGGCGGTGGCCGAGGCCCGCTTCGCCAAACCTTCCCCCCCTAACCCCCACCCCGCGCTCCGACCCTTCCTTTCTAACGGAGCGAAGGATCAGCAACCGGCGGCTTGGAGGGCGAGCCAGCGACGGAGCGGCGGAGGCAGCCGAACCCCGCCACAATGGTGCTGGACAAGGAGGACGGTAGG